GACGCGGTGGCCGACCGGTGGTGGCGAAGAAGGTCCTCGAAGACATGGTGGTCTTCTCTTTAAAAGCAGGTGATCAGAGAGGTCTTTGGAAGATGATGGTGGTAATGATGGTGGCAGGGGGGATTCCCTTTTTGAGATGGCTTGGATCGCTCTTGAAGCGGGGTGGTGGTGGTAAAAGAGAAGAAATTACAAGTGGCAAAAAAGTTTCGATTTCTCTTTCTCGCTGGAAAATAAAAGGAACGGAATGAAGATGAGATGAGATGAGGTGCGTACGCGACGACGGCCAACCTAAAAGTGACCGACGCCGAGCACTCTGCTCTCTGCTCTGTTATCAACTGCGCCGTTGACTCTGGCGCCCCCACCTCATCACTGCTGATAAAACTGATTAGATAAGAAAAGATAAGAAATTCTCTAATTTCTTTGTTTAGAACAGCAGCAGCAAAGACAAAAGGAAAATGACAAGAAGTGTGAGTAGTAAGCTCTGATGACCAGTGAGTGATTGAATGAGTCAAAGATGAGTGAGTGAAAGAAATCGAAACGAAAAGGAAAATAGAAATAGAAAAAATTGAAAAGAAGAAAATGAAGGTAGAGAATAAATGCAAGGGAAATTAAAGAAAAGATAACACAAGAAATGAGGAGAATATGTACAAAATAGGTCGATTCTACTTTTTGATCCTCAGTACTTTCTGCGAAGACTGCGAGCTGACCATCTTTGCAAAGAGCGACCGCGGCTCAGCGCGCAGCACCTTCGGATCGCCGCTCTCCACAACCTAAACAAAACCAAAAATCAAAACCTTTTCAACCAAAAATCCAAAATCCCTTACCTCTCCCTTCCTGATGACAATCACCTGATCACAGTCCAGTACCGTCTGCAGCCGGTGGGCGATGAGCAGCACCGTACAGTCGGCAAAGACGGTCCGCACCAGGCGCCAGATAGCCACCTCCATCTGGTCGTCCACCGCCGAGGTCGCCTCATCGAGGACTATGATTCGGGAGCCTCGAAGCAGGGCTCGGGCCAGGCAGAGCAGTTGCTTTTCGCCGGTGCTAAAACCACCGCTGAAAAAAAGGAAAAAATTACTCAAAAACGGCAAAATATTTAAAGACATTGCCTTACCTTGTTCCCGAACTCCTTTGCTGCTGCTGAGAATTCTTTGGCTGCTGAACCGATCCAGCCGATCCCGCCGCAATCGGCTCATCCAGGCCGCCCCTACACTGCCGCTCCACCTTCTCCCTCAGTCCAACTGCCTCCAACACTGAAAGCAGCTGCTCCTCGCTGGCCTTGCCCCGAGGGTCGAGGTTCTTGCGAATTGAACTTCCGGTGAAGAGGACCGGGTCCTGTGGAATGATGGTCAGCCGCGAACGCAGTACCTCCAGCGGGACGGCGCGAATGTCGACGCCGTCGATGAAGATTCCCGAATTTTCATCGCCTTTTTCAGCGCTGGCTATTTCCACCAGACGAAAGAGTGCATAGGTGATGCTGCTCTTACCGGCCCCGGTTCGCCCCACAATCGCCACCTTTGACCCGCCGGCCACGTCAAAGGTAACATTTTTCAATGCGAGCGGCAGATTTGCCCGATAGCGCAGAGACACCGCTCGAAAGCTGATCCGTCCGGCAGAGGGCCACCACAGCTTAGAAGAGTTTTCTGAAGTAGTTGGTGAAAGATCAAAGTTCAGCTGCTGCTCTCGGGCGCTGAGGGCCATTGTGGTGCTGCGTTCACTGCGCAGCAGGCGAATGTAAGCCTGCAGACGTTCAACAGAAACCAAGCGTGTCTCGAGATCCAAGGCCAAACGAACTACGAGCTGGAGAAGGCCGCTGAGCTGCAAAAAAAATAAAAAATAGTTAAAAAACTTTAAAAACTTCCTAAAAACGCCTTACCTGCATACTCTGCGTAATGACCAGCCCTGCATAGGCCGCCCCTACAGTCCTCAGCTTCACCAGCACCAACAAGCAGACCACCACATTGGCGGCAATGCACAGCAGGTCAATTCGAATCGAAAGCCAGCGGACCGTACAGAGCGACAACCAGTGGCCGGCGGCCTGGCGATCTGCAAGCCTAAAAAAGTTCCTCGTAAATCGATCTTCCGCTCCACTGAAGGCCTTCACCACCGAAAGTCCCTCCACAGTGGCCGAAAGGTAGCCGTAAATCGGAGATCTCAGCCTCAGATCGGCCTGCTTCAGCCAATACGTTGCCGAACGATAGTGCCGGTAAATGAGCACAAAAACGACTCCAAAAATTAAAAACGGCAGGCTAAAGAGCCAGTGCAGCGTCAGGACAATGAGCAGGAAGCTGCCTAGAACAAGAAGAGCTCGCTGCGCAAAACCGTCCAGCGCCACCGGAAGCTGCCCGTCGAGCTCGTCAATGTTGTGCGAGAAGAGGTTCAGAATTCGACCTAAAGAGATTGCATCAAAAAAAGCTAGGGGACTGGTTATGAGCTTGGAGAGGGTGGCCCAGTGGAGGGCATTGGCCGCTCGGACGGCGATTCGAGCGTAAGTGCAGCCCATCAAAAGGGACGTAAAAACAACGACAAAAAGAAGGACCAGGTAGACGGTTTGGTAGTAGTGGAGGTGGGGATTGGCGAGGATTGAGGAGGAGGAGGGTGATGGGGGTGATGAGGGTGACGAGGGGGTGATGAGAGAAGTTGAAGAGTTTTGGAGAAAAAGGTCTGATCGATACTCGGCTGCCATCTAAAAAAGAAAAAGGTTTTTAGAAGGCATTTTAAAGGATAATAATGTAGAAATTATACCGTCGCCGAATCTAGATTTTGGGATTCTGAAGTTCTAGATCCACTATTTCCACCTCCCTGGTTGAGCCAGTAGCTGAGCCACCAGCTGGCAAAGGTGGCCGTCGCCGTCTGCGCCGCAAAGAGCGCCAACATCAGCGCAAAGGCGGGCCAGCCGCCGCTTGCGCGAATGTAGTCGGTGTACGTCTGACTGCTGATGGCCACCTGTTTGGAAACTGTTTTGGAGTTGTTTTGAGAAGAGGTGTTTCCGTTTCCGTTGACCGCTTTCTTATTTTTATCAGTTGAGGAGGAAGAGGAAAACTTTTGCCTGTACTTGGCCGAGTACTTGCGAAAGAGGCGACTCTCGGGGTCGTCCAGAGCTCGTCCTCGGCTTTCACCTTCTTCATCATCCTCAAATTCTTCTGAATCACCATGAGAATTTGGCATTTGGTAAGCAGCACTGGAGGAGTTCTGGTCGCACTTTTCCAGCAGCGAAATGAGCGAGGTGTAGGAGGCGGTAGAGTCTTTTGCGCCAGCAGATTTCAAAGGTGGAGGCAGTGTTCCGTTGCTTTTGAAGAGGACATTATCTTCCTCGTCATCTTCCTCATCATCTTCCTCATCTT